GAAAGATTTCACAGTGGAATTATTTGAATGTCAAATTCGAGCCATGCCTACAGAAAAGTCGGTCTTGACGTTGGGCATTGTCTTTATAACCTAAAAGAAAACCTGGGTAAGATCAGGGAAAGGTTGCACTTTCTGCCAGAATGAAAGCACCTGGAGCCCCAGGGATAGGATGGAATCCTGTTGCCATGGGGTAAAAACCTGTTGCTAGGGGCTTCCATCGTGTTATTCAAGAACGCGGTTCTCCTGTCGTCTGTGCCAATGCCCTCATCCCTCCATTTCTTCTAGTCCAATTTAGAACAACTTAAACTTGAGATCCAAATTATAAGATTCCTTCAGGCTTATAGGGCAGTCACATTCTACATTCTCCTGGTCCAGAAAACAACAGCAGTCCTGAGAAAGACATTCAGTGAGATTAAGGAGAAACACAGTGACCCTGGGTGTGAAGAAGGCCCCCCAGCTCTGTCGTTTTGATTGGCAGCTCCTCTCCTTTTTCTGTCTGTGCCAAGTCTGATTTGCTGTGAGAAGAATACGTGATGTCTAAACTGATGGATTCTAACATGTTGCTTGGTCTGTGGATTAGGCCAATCCATCCCACATTGTTGGGGCTGCAGATGCAGTTGAATGGCTCATAATTATAGCCTAAGAGACTGCAGACAGCAATAGAGCCAAGCCAGACCCCCTTTCTCCTCATAGCCCATGCCAAGCTGTCTCCCACAGGGAATGAGGGTGCTTACTCTGCAATGTACATGCCCAATACAGCACAGCATCTTCCTGGATTTCTGGAAACAGTGCCTGGTCACCTACCTGTCCGGATGCACATGGGACTGGGCTTTGTGTGGTATGGGCAAGCTCATTTTTCTGCCCCGCTGACTAGGAGGGCTGCACTTGGAAGTCACTAACAGCCTCCTGTCTCGGACCATGTGGTGATGCAGGTCTAAGGTTTTGCCTCCAGTATGATCTAGAAGAGTACCTTTCCACTCACTTGCAGAACAAATCCAAATACACAGTTTTTCTTCCTCACTCAGCGCTGGAAATTCTCAAGCAAGGCTAGGTAATTCTCTGTTCAAGAACCATGGAAGGGGATTAGATTTTAAAATTCAACACGATAGCTGTCTGAACTCTCTCTGGCAACAGTTCAGTTGACTGAGGGTCTAAGCTACTCCACAGAGATGTCCAAAGAGAAAGATTTAAAGTGATTTCTCACATATTCTCCCTTACTCCAGACCCTGAAGACAATGATAATTATTTTAAGTTAATTGAACACTTTCCTACTCTAGATATTCTGCTAAAGCTTTGCACACGTGGCCTCATTTAATCATACAGACAGTCTTAAAATGTGGGTGCTATTATTTTCCCTGCTTCAAACATCCAGAACCTGAGTTTCAGGGCTAAGTGATTTACCTGTGATAATTTAGCAGGTTAAGTTGGTTGAGTTAAAAATCTGAATCTCACTTCTGAATCCATACTGCTCACTATCTCTGTTTATTACAGAGTTTTCTGGGCCGAATAGGCCCTCAAGTCTTCCCCACCCTCCTCCCCCTTTCCCCTGAGCAACTGCAGCTCTGTTACGGTCCATTGTTTATTGTACTCCTCGAACAATAGCTAATGAGTCTGTATTACATGCTAGGAAGATCCAGGGGTGGTTTTATTCCCTGAAGCACAGATGAGGTTGTGACACTACAAAAGGTTAAGTGGCTTTGGTAAGGTCACAGAGCCAGCCTGCAGTCAGCCACACCACCTTCTGAGTCCCTGGCTTAGTTCCTAAACTGACCCTAAGGCCTTTTGGAACTACAGTTTAATTAACAGTTATTTTAATTTCCTCCCTATCTCCAAGTCTCCATTTTATTGCTGATTAATAGTAGATATTGAAGCCCTGGGCCTTTCTTTTTTTCCCTTACCCCGTGCTTTGCACTAAATAGAAACTGACTGGTACAGAGCGAAGTTTCTGACGTGTTTTTCAGGGTATGACAGGGCCTGTTGGCTTTTCTCAGACTGAGAGGAGACCACAAGTGCAGCTTAGACAGGTTGCTAACTGAGAGCCTGAGAGCTTGTTTAAAAAAAAAAAAAAATCTTCCATTTATACCAGTAAGTCAGCATCTGTGAGTCATGAACTCGCTTGGGATCAGTCGTTAGTGGTCTGAATGTTTTTTGTGCTCCCTTCAGTGAGGCCTATTTTTAAAGGTTCAGAATGTAGAGAATTCTAGCAGATTTCTGCAGAGGAAGGTTATAGCTTCCAAAATTCTTTGAAATTAAATGCATTTTTATATACTTACTGAGTTTGGAGCAGGACTGAGGGAAGAACAAGGGGAAATTATTATTTTTTTTTGTTATATGCTCCTGTGGTGAGGAGATTCCTGTATAAAGGTGACTTCTGTCTCGATGCCATTCATGCCTTTTTGGACTTGATAGCCCTATTCTCCAGAGTTCCAATCCTTGATCAGATGTAATTAGCTAGGGTCTAAGGACTTTTAAAGATACAAATCTGTTTTCTCCCCAGTAGGAAGCCAACCTTAAAAAACACATTACTTACCGGCCCCCCAAGTGCCTTAAAAACTATCAGTCTTGAAATAGTGTGCTCAGGTATAAGAAAGCAGAACTTGTATGTGGCTGGTCGGTAAACTGAAACACTTGTGAACCGAAGTGGGCAAAGTCGGGGTAGAGTTCTATTTTACCATAGGGAACAAAGGGCAGCTCCCAGGGCAGTTACTGACACCTTCTAGGTCATTTTTACAAGCGGTGGTAAAGCAGAAGCCCCGAGTGACCAGAACGCTGATAGTTCTTCACTCAACAAGTATTTTTTGAATGTCTGTGATGCCCTAGGCTTGGGGCAAAGGATATGTTTTTTGATAAGTAAACTGCAGTAATGTTTTTTTAAACTCCGAAGAATGTTTTGGAAAATCTACCTGTGTTATAAAGAGAATACAAATTCCATTTGTCAAACATTAATTAAGCGAGCTACTGTCCTGGTTGGATTACTACTGTCCCAAAGATGTAAAAATATCTTAACTGGCTCCCTCTCAGTGCTTCTCACCCTCCGGGAAGTTTCAACCCGGTCCAGGGCTCTTCACAGGACCTCTGATGTTGCCAGCATTTGCCCTCAGTATCATCCCCAACCCACCCACTTTATGATGTGGACACTTGTGCCTCTGCACTTGGGGTTAGGAACAGGAAGATCAACAAACTGATGGGCTCTGTGGAAGGGTTACAAGGAACACATCCCCTCACTGCCGCCAGGGGAGAAACTGTTTACAGCTGCATCTCGGTGGGCTTAAGTGTCTGACATGCATGTGTGTAAGCAGTAGTGTAACTAGACACTAGTTTAGTGAAGGACAAGACCTAGGGGAGGGGAGAGGAAGGAGTGATTCCGAGAAAGGTGCTTTTGCAAACAGAGTAAAACTCTCCGGCATTTTCATTAAGATTGAAGCAACAAATGAAATCCCCCAGAGGAACTATTCATTTGTTCAGTTCTGCAGATGTCATAGTAAGGCAGGATCAGTTCAAGATTCTTTGCCTTGCTGCTTATTTGGGTGTGTGAATGTACAATTCATTCTTCAGCTGGCTCCCTCAGCTTTTCCCAGGATCCGAAGGGTCTGTTCTTGTCATCTGGAGGCCAGTATTGTTTTCTCATACCTTGCAGAAACACAGCTGGACTGCAACAGTCTTTGTTCTTTCAAAAAAAAAAAAACATGAGGATTATCACATACACATATTTTTCTCTGGTGACCAAAGAAGGGTGGAGCCTGGAGGTTGGACCAGGACCCAGAGATTGACACTCTATTGCTATTTTTTCCCCTGATTTGCTTTGGGAACCCTGTATACTGCTGAAGCCCCAAGGGGGCAAAACAAACAAACAAACAAACAACAAAACAAAAAAACATGCTTAGATAAAAGTTAGCAGGTGTGAAGTTTCCAAGATCAGAAGTCACAGTTGCAGGCAAGTGGTGGGAGTTCATCACATGCTTAGAAATCAGGAAACAGTACTAAGAATAGCTTTCCCTGAGGTTGCTCAGGAAGATTTATGTTGTCTTTTAATCAAAGGTAGATGTCAATGCCTTGCTCCAGCTAAACATGCACTACCATGTCCTGGATGATTTGGTAATGAGTACCACCTATCTTGATGTATGATAGCTAATTATCAGTAGCAAATTATGGATTATCCTGGCTTGTCTTTTTATCTGGAGTGTTGGGAGTTCCCAAATATGACAAGGATGTGCACTGTGAGATGCTGTGGGCTAGTGATGAACCCTAGAGATTCACACCAAAATGCTGGTGGATGTTGTGATGTAGAAAAGGATGTTGGATTTTTCTAATTAGAGCAGAGTTTGAAAGACAAAGCGTCGGCCAATGGTGACACAGTTAGAGAAATAGAATGATTAGGACTTCGGTTATGGGTTCTGGACTCCCTGGATAATCCAGGAGTTTGGGGGCTTGAGTTTTGGGGTGGGTCTCTGATAGGTTTGGTTCTGAGTTAGTGAAACTGATTAAGGTTTCTGTTCACCAACGCTGCCCTTGTCACTAAACCATTCCAAGGGTGGGATTCTGAGTCATGTTGCGACTGGAGCCCTCCCAGAACACCCGCTGTGGAATCCCCCGCACGCGCCCCTCGGTGCGCACCCAAGCAAGCCTCACGTCCTGTGTGTCATTCAAGCTTTGTGAATGAATGATGTTACACGCACTTGGAAAACTATGCTGCTACCGGAGCGGGCCGCAGCGGTGATCAAGCCCTCAAGAATGCGTGCAGAATCAGACGGACTTTCCCCGAGACCGTGGCAGCAGCCCCTGCACGCCAGCGACCCGCGCCAGCCTTCCTCGCCAGCGGTGGCCCGAGGCCCTCGCCCTGCGTGCGGAGGAGCTGGGGCTGCGCTGCGGGGCCCGGCGCGCCCGCCCTTCCTTTCGCTTTTGGGAGACGGGCGGTGATTGGCTGCGGGCGATAGGCCCCGCCCCCGCCGGCCCGCCCCCGCCGGCCCGCGGAGTGGGCAGTGCAGACGCTGGGACCCTGGGCCTGGGCTCGGGTGAGGAACGCCCTAAAGCGGAGGCGAGCTGCACAGCGCCAGCGCCGGCCAGCCGTGCAAGCGCCCGGGACCGAGGAGCAAGCGGGCGAGGCGCGGGCGAGGCTGGGACCCGAGCGCGCTCTCTGCTCCGCCAAGTGCCAACTTTGCGCGGACCGGCTGGGTGCGCACCTTCCCGCAGGGCAGTCCGCGGGAATTTGAGATTTTTAGGGAAGAAAGTCGGCTTCGCCCTGTCCCCTTGCCCCGGGTTCAGAATCCCCATTAAAAAGCAAAACAACAGTTACAACAAACTTGCTCTCATCCCGCCGGGCCCCCACAACTCCCGGCACCATGAAGGCGGCCGTCGATCTCAAGCCGACTCTCACCATCATCAAGACAGAAAAAGTGGATCTGGAGCTTTTCCCCTCCCCGGGTGAGTGGCGACAGCGTGGCCCCCACCCCAGCTCTGGGTCCCCTCCACTTCCACTCTGGGGTACGCTGCTCCCTCAGGAGCCAAGGATGCGGAGGCCAGGAGGACTGTTGGTGGCCTGAGACCCGTGTGTGTGTGTGTGTGTGTGTGTGTGTGTGTGTGTGTGTGTGTGTGTTTATTTTCACAGCTGCTTTTTTTGTGACTAATGGGAAAAAGCTTATAGAATTTCCAGCGCCCTAATTCCGGTGTTAAAATTTTCCCACGTAAGTGAGAACCTTCTGGTAGTGTTCATTCACGTTAGCAAGGGGGCCCGACACTGCCTCTCGTGTCACCCCCTAACTCTGTGTCTCCCCAGAATTGGAGCTTGATGGGAGGGCCCTGCGGAGTGCTGAAAGGGTATCTGGCTAACTGCCTGGCCCTGGAGCACATTTCCAGCACTCTTGCATCCTGAGCTCCCCAGTCACACGTCCCGTAGAGTCTCCTCTTTTCTGGGTTGAGGAGGTCGTGGGAGGAGAAATGAAATTCATCTGTTTAGCTCTGAGAAAGTCCGATTCCCTCCTGTTCATGCAGGTTACTAACTTTACTGGCTTTCTATTCTGCCATGTTTTGTTCTCTGGTACCAAAGGTCCTAGGAGAAGGAAAGCATCCCAACACCAGATGTGACTTAGTGTCGTTGGTTCATGGTTTCCATTTAGCCGGCTTAAAGGATTTAAAGAAGAGAGGGATAGTAAAGACACCAAATTTTGTCTTAGAAGGAAATTTTGGCGCTCAACAGATGGAGTCAACTCTTCAGGATTCCTGAAGCTAGCACAGTTTGAGAGGGAGTTTGCCTGCTTTTAGGCTAGGGAGCCTACAGCTGGCCTCAGAGAAGAGTGACTTCAGAGGCGAAAGGGTAGAGACGGATACAGGGAGAAGGTGATGCATTTTGGGAACTAATCAGCTGTCACAACACACACCTCTATTGGGTCTAATTATCAGGAGGTTTAGTTGCTGCCCCCAACCTTTGTCTCTTCCATAATGAACGGCATATGTTAACCCTTTCCTTAAACTTTCAATACAAGCCAGGATGAGGTTTTGACATTCTGACGTGCTTCCAAATGTTAATAAGGACATTTGGGTCCCCTCCCCTCCAGAGAGTCTTCTGACATTCAGTGCGCTGTACAAAAGCTGGGCTTGTGTCTTGTCACAGTGTGATGACAGTCAGAGCCATGCTGAGGCCTCTCCTAGAACTGTGGAGACTTCTCCGGCACTTAGAGCTACAGGTAGAAACGATGCTGTGAAGGCTGTGTTTGAGTGTTCAAGGGAGCCAGAAGTTCTCAGTGTTACGATTGATTGAATCCATATATAGCAGAAGAGAAAGGATAGTTCCCAGCGAAGATATAAACTCAACTAATAGGTCCTTTCCTTAAGAATGGCTTGTTTATATGTGCTGTGTGTGTTTATGGGGGAGAGACAGATGTGGGCATCTGGGAAACATCATGTGTATTATGTCAGCTCACATACCTACAGTGGGACTTCCCTGCGGGCAGTGAATAGGGGCCCCATGCAGCACATGTTTCAGATCATAGCAAACAGCTGGAGCATGATTTTTTTTTGTAATTTAATATTAAATATTTGATGTTTTAAAGCATTTGATGCTATTACTTCAGTTATTGATAAAAATAAAATGTAGGCAAGTAACTTTATTGAGCTGTCCCGCCAGTAAAATGGATCTGGGCAGGCCTGATATTGCAGTCAGTATTCATGAGACGAAGTACCTTTACACTGGCTTTTTTGACCAGAAAAGGTGTTCCAGGAATGCAAGTTGGAAGTGAACCTGGGCTACACAGTGCATTTAAGACCAGTTTGAGCAATATAGTGAAATTCGTTCTCAAAATAAAAAAAAAAAGCTTCCAAGCCAATGACCAGGTTTTATAAATGACCTTCAGTGCAACAAAGCAACAAAATTTCATTTGGTCTGCGAAATGAGGAGTCTTCTGCCATTTACTATGATGAGATTTTTTTTCCCCTGGTACTTTCTTAGAGAAAATGAAGAACAGGGATTTGTTGATCATTATAATTATTTTTTTTAGCAAGTTTTTTTTTCTGGGTTGTATTTACATTTATGTAAATATTATGTCCATACCTCAGATGGGGAACTAGAGGCAAAAAAATGTTAAGACACTTAGGCAAAATTCTCCATAGAGCCAGTGGCTGACGAGAGATGGCTGATGAGAGATGATTCCCTGTTTCTAACTTGTCGGTGTTCATACAGTGAGTAATACTCCAAGTTACCTTTGGAAGCTCAGCAGAGAAACACCAATGGAGACTTACATTTTCAGGTGGAAAGATGGAAGAAACCCTGGCCAGGACTGCTGGCTCTCACCAATGGAAGGATAAGATGTTAGGTACAGCTTCACCTGGACCATCAAACTCTATAGGACACCCGTGTCTAAGCTGCATGACTTTGCATCCATTGTTGTGACTTTAGTGTTTACCATGGGGTTTTTTTGTTTGTTTGTTTTTCCCATTGTATTGCTCAGTTTCTTGTGTGCGGAGACAACTGGTGTGGAGTGTGATGTTACCTCAGATTTAAACCAGAACTTCCTTTCTGCCCCCTCCACAGATTCCTAGATTCTAAGAGATACAGTGGGAAGTCTGAGGGTCCAAATCGGAGCCAGAAGAACTGGAACCTTTGTCAGCCTGTCTGTGGTCAGGACTTGACCAAGAACCTTTATTCACTTTGGTTTTATATTGAGGGCTGACAGGATTTGGACTGCATCAAGTGGCAAATTAATATATACTTTCAAATAACACTGGCATTCAGTTTCCCCTGTAAGTGTCAAGTGGGGCATACTATTTCATTGTACACTTCTCTCAGGCCACATGTAGGTTTAAACCAAAGGTAGCATTAACTTGTTCCCGGTTCCTTTCTGAGCAGGGGATGAGGCTGTGCAGGCAGGGTGTGGGAGCAAATGCTACTCCATTATTCGCCTCCCTCCCATTCCACTCCACCTCCATGGTGAGGTGAAGACAGCGGCCATAGAGGAACAGTTTTCATCCTGGCCGTTTGCCCGTTTATGAGACTTAAAAGGTTCAGTCCTTACTTCCATTTCACATTGACAGAGGATGTCATCTCCTGGGGACTGTTGTCCTTCAAGATAGGAGGAAGCACTGTCCTTTCTTAGTTTGAACAGTCTTTGTGTCCCTGTAAGCGAGAAGAAAGGGGAGAGCTGCCCGGCTGCTGGGATCACTTGCTCACCGTGTTTCTAGATCCCCTCTTACCACACTCTGGTAGTGACTAAATAGCCCAGTGGTTTAGACAGGGACTATGGAGCCAGCTTGTCTGGGTGTGAATCCCCAGTTAGGAGCTGTGTGACTCTGGGCAGACTACTTAATCTCCCTGTGTTCCAGCTCCTGTATGTATGAAATGGGTGTAATAATCCTTGGATGAAGATGAAACCCGAATATGTGGAAAATCTTAACTCAGTGCCGAACCGGTAACAGAGTCTGTTGAGCAGTTAATGAAAAAGCAAGTCAACAAAGACCTGGATTCGTGTAGAACTTTCAGAAGACCTTGGAAGGTTTGGTAGGGAATCTGGAGGCTGGTTTATATATGTGCCCCAAATCTACCACTTGGGGAAGAAAGTAGAGCAGAGAAAAAGATCTCCTGGCCTGAAATCTCACATGCGTGGGCTGTATTCTGAGTTCTAGACAGCAAGGTTGGTGAGCAGTTCACTTTCAGAGTGTCTGGGAGGCCCGACTGTCACTGTGCAAGGTCTAAAGGGTGGTATATTCCTTTGGGTCATGGAGCCTGTCAGTGATACCTCAGAGCAGGAAATCTACCAAGTCCAAGGACATTGGGGACATTGCAGAGTTGGAGGAAAAGTAAAAGTTTTTTTGCATCTTGCTGGGTTGAGAAATGCGTCTTGTCCAGTTATTATAAAGCATCTCACATTTTATTTATTTACTTGGTTGGCAGAGCTTACATTCCAGGCATTTTTGCTTGGTTTGTGTTGCTGTATTTTTTTTTTTTTTTTTTTTTTTTGTCCATGTAGCATTTTCCCTCCTCTTAAAGAGGCCAGACCACCCTGTAGGGACATCTTCTCTCTCTAAGAGACAAAGCAGCCGTGATCAACTTCCTCAAACCCAGCTTGCTCAGGGCCCCACCACAGTTTCTGCAAAAGCAAGAGTGGGTTAGTGGCTGCCAGGATTTTCCAGGAAAGGATCTCCCTGTTTCAGAATATGGTGGCTCATTCCCATTGGCGCACGTGACAGCGTAATTATAGACGGGATGAAAACTGTAGCTGTGACGGCATTCCAGGAGCTTATGCTGATGGTAGATTCTTGTTAGCTAACTGTTGTAGGGAGTTTGTGAAATGTGTATCGAGTGTGCTTTGTCTGTCTACAGCATTCACACACTGAAGCACTTGAGTCACGCTCACTCCAGGGGAAATATTATTTATTCCATTATTTTTCAGATGGAGAAAGTGATGTTCATAGAAGCACATGCATTTTCTAAGGCCACACTTTAGAAACTTAGACACTGGTGAGATGTCGCAGGCTTTTTGTACCTGAAGCAAAAAAAACACATTGTGTTATTTTCGTCAACTCTGGAAATTAAACCATAGAAGGCAGGGCTGGCTGATGCTTTGGAGGTTCGGGGAGTACAGGGGTTCCCTGCCATCCCTGAAAGACTCCTCTGAGTTGAAATGTCACCTGAGTGCCCTGGACAGCTTGGTGAAAGTGCGTCCTCAGGCATGGCCATCCAGATGTGTATCCTATGGAAGAAGCTTGCAGGTTCCAGTCACTTTGACCTCAGAAGGTGAAGGAGAACCAGGATTCTGTGTTTCAGTGATTTTCAGGCAGTCTAACCTTGGTTTCTGATGGGACCATCAAGCCCCGACCCTCTAGCTTCTGCCATTTTATCCCCTTCGTCACTGGTGCTGCCGTGAATTCCATTGTTTCCAGTCTAGATGATGAAAGGTGTTGACTGGCAGATGGAAGGCAGTGGAAGTTGAATT